TTTCAATTAGGTTCAAAAAGGCACGGCATTATTCCTTGACATGCATCACACTGTATTGTAACAACAAGATCCTTAAGATTGTGAAAACAAATAAATTTTCAATAATTGTTTTGAAGGAAATAAAACGCGACTTGACTTGATAAAGGCAGTAGTGCATCTGTTTACTTGGTGGCATAAACGGTTTAAGACTTTGCTGCTGGTGTTTCCAATGTAATATGTCGGACTTACGCGATCACTTTAGACTTCATTTTAGAACCTCGGTAATTGTCCGAAAAATTCGTTCGTTTTTTAAAATAAAAAAGTCCCCCAAAAAGAAAGGATACGTTAAGTTTTTGACCGATGAAGAACAAAGGTTTGTATATATGTAGTTTGCATTTTTATTAAAAAAATACGTTTTTTTGCAAAACTTTCCTGGTTTCCAAAAAACAGTTTGTAAAAATCCTAAGAATTAAATTCGCATTTTTGTAAGGATTTTCGGCACAGATGCAATTAAAAATTTACAAATCTAAGCATGATGACATTGAATTGCATAGAAAAGTAGCGACTTGATTCAGGCAATTCGCTATTCTAATAAGGAAATAAGGAAATGGGCAATTTGTTTATTTGGCTAAAAATAGACCTATAGAGTGGACTTAGCGTCAAGAGGTTTAAAAAGTTTAAGTTTAAGTACCACTTCATTAATCTCGGAGCGCTTGCTGATTATTCATTAATAATATTTGTTTCACAAACATAATACATGTTTATTCTCAATTTCTACAGGGTTTTTGGTCTAATTTCAGTTATCTTCTAAATATACAAAATTTCAAAAAAGCTATCAGTTTTTTCGATCTAATTGCTGATGAAATATGAAAATAAGAATCCACATATTTCAAACATTTCAAATATGTTTTGCGACAAAAAACTTAATTTTTGTGTACTGATTTTCTTTGGTGGTATACAAATCTGTTGACATGATGAATGACGAGACGATAATTTAATGATTTATATTCAACTTGTTTGTAAGTACCTCTTATCATTACTTGCTATCGTTTCCTTTTAGATAATGTATATTGTCTACCGTCATAAGCATTTTTTGAACCTTGTATTTGCCTGTGTTGGGATTGACTTAAAAATTAATTGTACTGTTTATTTGTAGAACACGATTAACTTTCGAAAATTCTGATAAGCAGCCACGTTGTATTATTTCCTGATTACATTTCTACCCAATTTAATATGGTTGTTTAAAACCAGGAAAATCCACATCTTTATAGCGATTAAAGGTCACCAACTTAATAGCGAAACAATCTATATGGCTTCTGGAGACCATCCGTTAAGAATTTACTATTTGAGCAACTGGATTATTAATAATATCATGACATTTTTTCATACAGGTGGTTGGATGAATATACCTCAAGGTATTCCCAATTGTCCACCAGGGTTGGAATACCTTACTATGATTGATCAGCTTTTGGTACATCAAAAAGTTGAAATTTTGGAAGGTAAGATGGAGCACGAGAGCGCATGTTTTTGTCCAATCTTTAACCGAATATTTCTGCTCTACTCTAGATTTAAACATTCAATGTATGCATATAGTTTATGATTTTTTCGAAAAAGCTCAAATTGATTCAAGCAGTATATTATTTTCATTGCAAGGAAACGAGAAATGGATGAAAAAAGCAGTTAGACCAGCCAGATCCGAATAATCGAACATTTTGTTGCCAATTTAAGCGGCTTGAACCCTTAATCGACCATATTTTATTCATTCTATAATTAAACACTATATGAATATTAGGGAGCTTCTCAGACCGAAAACGATCGATTGATTTAAAATAAACACGCATTTATTCGAACTGTTTTTTTTTGTTTTAGCTCTCACAGGATTCGAATCGAAAAATAAATTTACCATAAAAAATAGCCTCGGTCAGAAAGTTTATTATGCGGTTGAAGAGTCTGATTGCCTGACTCGCAACTGTTGCGGCCCGCTCCGGCCCTTTGACATGCAAATTTTGGACAATTACAGGAACGAAATAATCCACTTACATCGACCACTGGCCTGCGATAGCTGCTGCTTTCCATGCTGCCTTCAGGTGTTTGCAATCTACTGATGTCCAAGAATGGAAAGTAAAAATGGCGCTGTTTCAGAGTATGGAAGTGTCGTCTCCACCCGGTACAATAGTAGGCACAGTGGAGCAAGAATGGAGCTTATTCTGCCCTTCATTTGCAATTAAGAATGCAAGTGGAGATACGGTTCTCAGGGTGGAGGGACCTTTCTGCACAATGAGCATTTGTGGGGATGTGGAGTTCAAGATCATGTCCAGTGATGGGAGCGTTCAGGTCGGCAAGATCTCAAAACAATGGTCTGGTCTGATCAGGGAAATGTTCACTGATACCGACTATTTCGGTATCACATTTCCCATGGATTTGGACGCCAGAATGAAAGCTGTTATGTTGGGCGCTTGTTTCCTCATCGTAAGTTGTTTCTTATCCAAACTAATAATTTCAGCTAACGGCAAGTTTTACAGGATGCCATGTTCTTCGAGAAAGCCAAAGGAGCAGGTGAAGCTGCCTCGTCCAGTATGTTGTAGGCTTATTTAAAGCTATGTCTTATACGTGTTTTATTTTTGTACTCGAATTTCTATTGCGTGAGGTGTGTTTAATTTTTTTTAATTCGAATATGCAACAACGATATTTTTAACGCAACCTTTAGACTGTAATGCTGCATATGCCCAGATTAAGTGATAATATCATCTCGAATACTGGTTTTATATTTAAACCTATTTATATACCATGATAATTTTGTTACCAAAATCAGCAAACGCAACACAGAAGTTGGATTATATAATGATGTGAATTGTTACGCGCTGTGACTGAATATTTTTGACCGTGATTGGATGAAGATGAGGGTTTTTTGGAATGACATAGTTTAATTTTCGGCTTTGGCAAATTGCTTTGGGGCCATATAATGAAAAAACTTTCAGCAGTCGCCAATGTTGGGAACTGTGTGGATTAAAATCCTACAAAATAGTAGTATTTAAAAAAAAGTTTCTATTGTACCAGTGCCAAAAACCCAAAGAACTTTTCAAATATCCCGGTGGACAGTTACTACGACGGATCCAAAATGTAATTTATTTTCTTCCATTGTTGAACTTTTAGAATATTTAAATCCTAATCTGAAAAGATCTATTTGTGATTGTATAACTATTTGACATTGGTTTGGTATTTTCTAAGTATAGTGTTAATATTGTTAAAGCTGTTTTCTGGTTGAAATTTGCAGGTTTATCCAAATCCATCTATTGAAACAGCTTTATCAATTAGGTCTATGGCCTTTTTGCTTCTCACACCCTGATAAGACTTCGAAAAACGCTTACGAAACTCAATTGTTAAGATATATATTATATATAAATCCTTCATGTTTGTGCATGTAAATGTATACGTATTTTGTGGGTAGAACCCAGTGGACTTTACCATATTACAATGTTTATAAATGTATCTATTTTTAAATTAAATATGCACTTTAATTGAATTTGTGTTTGTTGCCTGTAGTTTATGATAGGCGTTGGACTCCGCTTTGTTTTTGGGAGAACTTTAGCAAACCAGGAGTATAGTTGCTGCCTATTTGTTACTAAGCTAACTTGAATATTGAAGGTGTTTGATAAAAAAGTGGACTGCGTCATTAGTTGTTCCCTCGAGGCAGTACGATTACTGCCTATTACAGAACTGTAAAATGTAAAATCCTTAAAGTCGAATTAAGCAAAAAATACCCAGTGATAATTATATAGAACCTTGAATCAGATGAAGGAGATCAACCAGATGAAAAAAATTTAATCTCAGGAAATGTCAGGCACGCCATCATCAGTCATCAGTCATCTTCACGCGAATTTTGTCAAATTGGTTTCTTCTAAGTTTGGACGCGGTGCAAACATGAAACCCGGCTTAAGTTTAGGAAGTTTTGTGCTCTTTTGGCTGTTTGCATCTGTGAATTGTGAGTATCTTAACTGGAATGTTGCATCCTTTCACTCGATAGATGTTTCTAAACTGGTTTTTGATTTAATTATTTTATTAGACGCATATTTAACTTAGAACGACAAAATTTAACGTAGGTATATTTCAACAGTTTTGTAGAATCGTAATTTTTAACTTCAAGAAACTGGGACTACCAGGGTAATTTTTTTTCAATTTTTGGCCTCAATGGCAGAATTTCTAAGATGCGGGGAAAATCATAATTTGATCAATATTTGGCGCTATTAAAAATGATCAAACAAAATATATCGTCCAGTAGACATTTTTTGAAATCGGGATTATTAAAAGGGAATTTCTCATCTGGAGGTTGCTTTGAATACTGGACAAATAAAGCGCGAATGACCCGAGAACTCAAAGAAATCGAGAATGCAGAGCTTGTTTTCATTTCATGCACGTGTTAATGAGGACAATTCTCAAACTTTAAATAATTGAACATGTGCGTAACGTTCAAGCTATTTCCAGCAAAAGCAATTCAGCCTTCAGGCAAACTGGATTTTGAAGACGCGTCAACCGAAGAATCGCTCGCTAAAACTGAAAAAACCATCCCTACGAAGATTTCCGTACAAACTAATTCAGCTGGTGGACCTGCTCATGTAATTGCAAGCGTTTCCTGTGGTTCCACGGGATGTAATGCTACTAGCAATAACAATTCAGTGGAAACTCAAATTTTGGTTCACGTGCAAACGAAAGTACACTTTGATCCTTCTCAGAGGAAAAAAATCCTGGAAAATGCTTCTGATGTGCCGATTGTGGCCGGATACAGAGGTACAGATTTGTAGATAGAACTTGGTAGGTTTTTCATTTTTTAAACAAAGGTGGGGAATCGGACCGTCCGCCCTTCTCGGATGACGATAATTTCAACAGGAGCCCTCCAGGCAGATTTGAGCAGCATTACGGCTCGTCACGAGGCGACCTCACGCCTCCCAAGCACTTTTACTCAGATTCTTCCAGTACCAACTACGGACTGGGAGGAGATTCTTCACAGTATCCTTATCAGAGCTCATACCGGCCAGCTAGCAATGGGTATCGGGAACACTCTTCAACTTTTGCTTCTTTCGATACTAACCGACCTGCAAACGGTTTAAATTATTTTGGTTCCTCCACACGTAGGCCTTTAGTAAGTGACCAAAACGACCAGGTCTAATTCAGGAGAGTGATTTTAATTTCAGGACTCAACAGGTTCAAACTCAAACAGGCCCGAATATAGAGAGAATGGGGTTAATTTGCAGATACCATATTTCGAGCAAAGCTACAATAAGCACTACTTTAACGAAGAGCCTCCCCCGCATACAGTATGGCTGAGGAAGGGAACATCCCGAAACCCAGTAGAATTCCAGAATATCCCGCGAAGTCAATGGCGTCCTGTTTACTGGAATGGAAGAAACAACAAGTACAGTTTCAGCGATTCAAGCAGGAATTTGGAGTGAGTCTAATCGACAATGTAACGCGAAATTTCATTAATTTCTATGAAAAATGTCGCTATTCAGAGGAAGTTATCGCAGAAACGACCCACATCCAGAGTACCGTCAGCAGGAATACCGACCCAGAAACGACGATCCTCAATGTTCCTGCAGGGATCACAGAACTGAGAGATATGACCGTTCGGCCACAGTTTACTCCTCACATAAACGTGCTTCTGGGTTTATCGACGATAAACTTTCTTCACTGAATTAAGCAATTTGAGCATTTTAAAATAAGAGATTTCATTAATAATGAAAAGTAACGAATTTACTTAGATTTAGGTGCAGTTTTAGTGTGAATAATCAAGTTTTTAGCAGTTGTTGACGGGTCCTGAAGTGTAGGTACCCATATTTATTTACCTAGCAATGAAAATATTTCCAACTGCTGCAGGCAAACATAGGAAAAACCTAATAAGCATGAAAACAAATTAGTACAATTGTTAGCGTAACTATCAATCAAAAACCCACGCTGAGCATGTAGTGAATATGTTTTTTCTCGACAAAGGAAAATTGAATTCTGATTCAAAATGAATAAACTCTGTGTTGCGAAGATATTGAAGGAGCGTTTTCAAAGCGAAAAGGGATAATCACAGACAATGAGAATATCAAAAGACAATAGTTGCTAAGTTCCCCGAGTAGGCCTAAATCTCAATCCTTTCTAATCCTTTGCGATTTCATTTTATAAGGGCCAACGTAATGAAATTCCATACTTTGTTTTACCCTCAACAAAGCCTTAGTCATTTTTCGAGACCCGGAAGGCAGCAAAAGACGAAAAAAATAAATATTTGTGCTCTTAATTGTAAATGTGCGGCCGAATAAATAGACATTTGCCATTTCTTTCGGTTACTTGGGGGACCCGGAATGAGTTTCCAATTGTTAATTACGTAAAATATATCATTTTTATTTTGTGTCAATGATTGTATTTTCCGAGGGAAAGCGAAAATGTTTATCTGGAAAGGCCAGTGCCAAATTGCAGAGGAGGAGATAACATTGACTTAGAGCACCGAAGAAATAAATAAGCCAGGAAGCTTTACTTTCTTTTCGTAGGTATAAAAGAAGCTCGTTCCTTTAATGTCCGTGTAGTACGATGTTATAAAATCCGGCGATTCCTGATATGGGATTTTTTATTATGGTGGATTGAGGTGAATTCTTATGCATCTTGGAACATTTTATTTTTAAAACTCAAAAAATAATCGAGCTTGTTAGGCGCAATTTAACTACCACACCAGTTCGTCTGAAATTTACTGAGAAAAACTTTTTCGGTGAGGATATCGATGCATATTTTCGCATCAAGCCACTTGAAGTTGAAGAAATTGCGTCTTTTTAAATTAATTTAATCTTAAATGTTGAATTTTGCATGCAATGTAATTAAATATATCTGACATGTGTTGAACTTGACTTCGATAACCCACTAATGTTGATGCATTTATGGTCTTGAAATTTCGTTCCAGTGGCAATTTTTGAAATGTCTGCAATTTAATCAATTTAGTTGAATAACACAATCATTTGCAAATAGTGTTTGTTTTTAGTCCCCAAATCCGCTTGGTCTTCATGAACGTATATCCTGATCCTCAGAAGTATTTACAGAGTTATTAAAATAATTAAAATCGTCTGTGGTTTTTTTACTCCGAGAAGGATACGTTGATCAGGCCATTTACACAAAGAGCAATCAATCTAATGCAATTACCGCAGTGAAACAACAATTTGATTTCAACCTAAAGTAAAAAAATACATATAATTAGCATTGGGTAGAAGAATACACACAACTGGAGATTTTATCTCATGGAAAAATTAGCTTGTTTTAAAACACAACTGGTCGCAGTTAACATTCGTTATTGGTTTCATTGGCGCACAATACAGTTTCAAGGGTTTTCATCAATATGTAAATTTCCATTGGCTAAATATTCGTGAAATTGGACGTCTCTAGTTGGGGCTTGAAAAAAAATTGAGTTAAACAGGAAACCAGTTTCAGATTTGAGTTGAGACTTTAAACAGGCTTTCAGCCTCAAGTTCCGCATTTCTGTTCTATTTTCCGCAATTTTTTCTTATTATTAGGCTCTTTCCAGCTAAGAAAATACTTGCGAAGATTCACAAAACACGTTCTTCTAAGCATCTTCAGCGTCCCCACTCTCATCTAAGGAAAATCTTGTACGCCACTGTTTAATAAAAATACCTGCATAAGACTTGCCGGCTTTGGAATATTCGAATCATTTCCAAAGTTTTTGTTGTGCGAATCCAAGTGAAATATGATTTTTGAAATTTTCTTCGCGTTTGTGTTGGTTGTGTGCGATGCCAAACCTGGTTATTCCGGTAATTTAGCTTAAGTTTAATTAAACCTTCCCAACTTTATCATGTTCAATTCACCTTTTTCGCATAAGTGAGGCCAAGGATTTCGACACTTTGAAGAAAGGTTGTTATTATTAATAATACATCTTGTTTTCTTCGCTGATTATCATGGCAAATCAGCAGCCTGGTCATAATTGTTCTAGATAATGGAATCTTGTTTTTGTTGTAAGTTCGCATCTTTTATAGTGATTTTTGGAATACACATGCCACGCATCTTATCTAGGACTGGAAATTTAATAAACTTATTACATTTGTCTGGAAACATCTTCGTTGTTCTCATATTTACACTAAATGGGTTACGTTGCCACTACAGCATAATGCATGTACCAATTTTCTCGGGAGAAGTGACGCGGAAAATGTGTATTTCCGCCTATTTTTAGGAAGAAGCATGCGAAAAGCGGTTCATATTCAGCAAGAACCTATTTAATATACAATAAAACCTCCATCTGATTGTGCATTTATTTGCAAGGTTACTTAGCTCATTTTCTTTGCAGCCAAGTACATCTAATGCATCTTCTACGGAATAATCAATAACAAACAGTGATTTTTGAATTGTTTGTTTAACTGGGAAATTACTGGGAAGCGAATTTTCCGTTTCATCTAACTAACCAACGCGAACTTTAAGCAGTTAGTTTTTTAGTAGGAATTATTGCACAAACATTACCTACGCCGTATGGTAAATTTGAAGGTGGTTACACATTTACATAACAAAGCGAATTTATTTGCCCAAACCTCTAGTTCCAAACACACCCATAGTTAGAGTTAGGTTTATGAATTATTTAATATATTTAATAAGTCTCCTTAACTATGCCATGACATTACAATTCATAACTCTCTCTTTGATCTGGTGTATTTGTTTTTTAATTTCATCGATCAAAACACGCAACTTTCTTTATCAATATAAATTGTCTCTATGATATTTTTTAGAGCGTTATCTAAACGATTCGGTGATCAGAAGAGAGTTAATTTATCTGTTCAAAAATTTTTGGGAAAGAATTTAAAAAAAAATAGCCCAACAGATGAATGAACTATCTTATGATCACTGGAGGATTTAAAAAATGTAGTCGCACAGATGAATTAACTCTCTTTTGATCACTGAATTAGTTGCATGATTTCTGAATTCAATTTAAGTACCAGCGGTCATCATTGAGGACCTCATTATATCATTGAAGTTATTTTTAGCTGTTTTGTATTTGGTGGTCCTCCTTGCTTGGTATTAATTTGATGATTTGGCAATAAATCTGCCCGCCGATTTAATCTGGGAAAATCCAACACACGGTATACATTTTTATGGCTTATTCTATTTCACTGGGATGAGTAGCGTTTTTTCAAAGTCTGCTTTCAGGTTCCGCTAAGTAAATTAATTAAGTTTGAGTACCATAACATTATAATAACCAGTTTAAATATTCCGCTGATTTTATTTTAAAACATTATACAATATACATTTGTGTACACCGCCAAAGAGCGCTCTCAACAGAATTGTAATTAAAACTTGTATGCAATGGCAAACTGTACAAAAAGCTAACATAGCCGGAAATGTATGGAACTTTTCCTACGGTTTCAGAGATGTTGATTTATCTTTGTGCCGTTTCAGTTTTCGGGTTTGTTGCTGCTATTTGCACGCTGCCATCAATCGATTAATGAACAATTTTGAATCAATTTCAGATTTTCTGGAAATAATTAAAAATTCTTTGTCTAGTTTAAGCTCTGAAGCTTCCAGGTATGCACTTATTAATTTTCCACATTTGAATTTTCCCATCGAATCCTTTGAGCGAACATACCGGTTTAAGTTTGGTAAATAAGTTTACTTGAATGGAAATTTTGTATTAGTGATTCATCCAAATCATTAGCCGCTCAAATCTAATTTTCATGCTCCTGTTCATCAGCTGCGATTTCCAATCGTCACTAATTTAGTTGATAAGGACTAATACCATCCTTCGGCTCTCTATCGGTTCGGAAATTTCTAATTCCCTATGACTTCATGATGGAATTCTACAATGTTTCGAAATTTGTTGGTTTTAATACACAATAAATAGTGCTTCTAAATAATAAAACCCACTAAAGGCACACTTAAAATGTCTCTACCTCTGAAGATGCAACCAACTCGTGCTTGCGAGACATCAGTAACAATTTATTTTCTTATCAGTTTCAAGCAATAACAGCGAAAGCCTTTTTTGATAATACATCTTTTGTTTGCAGGTTCATCAAATGCCGAAAATGAATTAGGCCATGGAACAAACACAGCAGGTGCAGGAGGAAACGCATACGGTTACTCCGGAAGTTTTTCTGGAGATGGGGGCTTTCCTGCGGGAAATATTCCCTCTTTTGTGCCTTTTATTCCGCAATTTGACTTTTCCTCGTTTTTCGATCAGCTGAACAGGCAACATCAGGAATTCATTCAACAGTAAGAGTTCACATATCAAACATATAATGTTCCTCTGTAAGCGGATTTTCCTTTTAACGGGCAAATTTTATTTCGCATACCTTCGCTTGAAGGAAATATTATTTCTACTTAATTAGATGATAGCGTAACAATTGGAAATGGCGCTATAAAATGTGCCATTGCAGATTTCATTTCAGCAATCTCGGCTACTACAAAAGCAGAAAAAATCTATTCTTCATAGTTCAAGTGGGGTTTAAGGAGTTGCTTGCGTCTATAAATATACGAGAGTTTAAAGACATCTTTTTCATTCATTGTACTGTCTAGAGCACTTTAAAACTTCCAAGCACGTATTGCTCTTATTTTAATCCATTGAAGATAAAAAGGAATTTTCGTTTAAGTATTGTGAGCAGCTTTAAGAGTTCTGGCGAAAGTACAGTTAATAATCAGTCAGTTTCAATAAAAGTCACCAAGTAAGTCGGTCAGTAATTCATTTTAATGCCAAGTTCTTGTATATTTTTATGCTCATTTAGGAAAAATCTTGTTCTAAGCTTCCAGGTCATGTGTAAAATCCGAATAATTTTCCATAAATTAGAATGACCAGTATAATTTTCATTTTTAAACCCTTTCGCATGTAGGTCTACGTAAATGGTGGCTGGTTTTTCTTTAGTTACGGTGGTGGTGTAGTTTCCTATAGCCACGCTTCTTCTGGACCTGGTTCTTCTGCCCAGGCACAATCATCTATTGTGTTTGATAGCATGCCTACCACAGGGTACGTACGGATTTGGGGGATACAACTGGACAACCCTCATCTATCTAATATCCATTGCATCTGCACTAATTTCGATAGGGGCTGGACGTCTTCCGCATGCAGATAACGAGCCAATACATTCATTAGCTGGGGACAGTTACCGTATAAAAGTGGCGTTTTTCCTTGAAATTTTACTAATAGCTAGCAAATTGGACTTTTTAAATCTTTAAGGATACAGTCACTTGCTCAGGCACAAGCGCAAGCTGGATCCTCGGCCGGAACAGGAAATGTTGGCTCAGGTTATCAAGGAAGGTAAGAAATAAAAATTGGACCATTTTGCAAGTCTATAGAACATGAAATACACAACACAAATCTAATCGGGATGCCATAATACCCGAACTGACAATAGGAATGACTTCTGATTGTATAAAAAATATAATCTTTTGAAACTTTTTATAGTCAAGGACCAGCTGCAAGCGGTGCTGGCTACGGAAGCGGAATTGACTTAGGAAATAGAGGAGGATTTGTGGGCGGCTATGGAGGCGGATTTGGCGGTAGTTGCGTCCTAAAATACAATAAAAGAAGATACATATGAAGTCTTATTTTAGGTCCTGATGGGAACAGCTTCTCCTTCTCAGGCCCTCTTGGAGATAGCGGATCGGCAATAGCGAGCGGCTCCATCGGACCGACCGGAGTTCATCAAACTGCATCAGTTTTCCCAGAAAATCCGGTAAGCGCAACCTGCCTCCTGGCAGCAGATTGAAAAATCTCGTGTTTTCCGATTTCTAGAATGCGCCTAATGTCAATACACGCTTTGGGGGAGAATCATCAGGAGGAGACGGTGGAGGATTCAAGAGTGTCTTCACTTCCAGCAAAAGTGTCAGTTCCAATGTGGATGGGAAGCCCCAAACTTTTCGTCAGGCCTCCACCACTGTGAATGATAATGGAAAAGTCACCACCTATACAGCTCACAATCCTTAGGTTGTGAATAATCATGATAAAAATTAGTTCTACTCGTATTTTGGTTTCAATGCTGGGTTCTTTTTGAAGAAGTGTTCTGGAACCGTATTTTCTAGTTTTGTTATTTTATTTGCAATAAAACCTCTAGAAAACTGAGTATATTTTTTATTTTTCATCATCTTCAAGTGTCGTGGGTCTGAGCCCTGCAGCGCTTAGAAGATTGTTGAATTATTTCAGCTTAGTAGAAAAGAAAAATATTTTTCAATAGATCTTGCCATTTATGGTTTGCCAAGGAACTGAATCCTGATTAATTTTCATTGTGTTTTTGTATTCTGGCTACCCTGATAACAGTCTTTGCCTCTCTAACCAGATGTTGGGTGAATTAAATGTATTTTGGGGCCAATTTTCTTTCCGTCTCTTACCTTCAAAAAGCTCGTAAAATTGAAGAGAGTTATAGAGCTGTATCCTGATATTAGTCGAGACTCCTACATGTCTCATGATTTACTCTTCGGGACGTGTTTTCTTTCCTGTTTTCCCCCTTTTTTCCGGCTTTCGCCCAGAGGACTTAACCGGGTTATTAAAGTAAAAAATCGAGGCCAATATATCCTGAATAATTTTGTTTTTAAATTGAATTTCGCCGAGCGGAAAGTTTTCTTTTGACCAATTCAGACTCCCCACTTTTACTGGCATACCTTAAAAAACGAAATCTGCATATGCGAAAGCACATCCTTGAAATGTTGACCCGTACAAGTATTGCCTGAGGACCCAATTAGTGAGTGTATTCATTTGGAATCGTGGCCTATGACCTTGTTGAAAATCACGTTTCTTTTATCGATTTATCCAAACATTTAAATCCCATCAAATCCTCATAAGATTAACTAATTGTAAGTTTTGGAGGATCGCATGCTTGGTTTTCCCAGGATCAGTTTGACCAACGTGTTTACAGCACTAATCACGAAGGATTTACCAAGCTCAGTTGCAGTTGTTTCTGTAGTTCACATGTAAATAATGTATCGTTTCAGTTTATTAAGTGTTTGTGTTATTGTGTGCTATTTATCTGGTGAGTCTAACTAATTTTTTTTCTATAATGTAAATAAGTTTAAACTGTTCATTGAAAGGAAAGTTCAGTAAATAAAGGTATTATATACTTTATGTATATGTAGAATCTCTTAGCTTAACTCCATCTGAGCGTATTGTGAAATTTCCAACACATGTACCTACGGTGTTTATTTTTCTGCTTGCACTAACTTCGGTTTAGGGTAATTCGCAGACCAAACATTTGTTAACCATGTTAAAAACATTTTTGCCAATGCAAAACGTAAATTGTGAGAATTCCAGCATCGCCCAAATATGCCACATACTTGAAAATAAACAATTATATTTCCAATTTTTTAAATTCTTTTCATAAATATCATCTACTGATGGCGACTATTATTTGCCTGCCAATTTGACCCCCAGAACAGTTTGCGATATCTAATTTTAGCTGACAGTTTTACGTACTTAAGCCAATCATTTATTTGCTTTTCTTCTTATTTCATGTTTGTCTTACGTTCGCATTTGCACTTTTCCGTCCAAGCAGTCACATTTCTACTGAACTTTATTTTAACACCTAAAAAAAATTTAGAATTAGCAACACCTTAGAAAAGCAAAACGCAAAATCAATACTTCCTATTGGTCAGCAGTAGGTACACCCCGATTAATCACCGATTGATTGCAGTTGCGGCTCGATTTAACCAATCGCCCACAAACTGTTACATAAGAAGGAAAAGGGTCTGTGTGGAAAGGTATGATTCAAATATACGCCGACTGAACACGCAAATATACTGATGGTCGACCTAAATAAAATAAACTGTTTGAGTAGGGTAATATGATTAAGGGTGCCAGGGTTTTTAAATTCGAGAAAACCTCTCTTTCCAGAGAGGTCCTAAAGCAACATCGTCTGATTGCAGTGGCTCTTAAGCTACTTTTCTAAGCAATTTCCATAATAAAGTTTTTTCGTGTTAAATCTTATCTGTTATCGAAAGAACAGTCTCTAAAGCAGGGTTTAACAAATTTTTCGATAATGGAACACTTGTTGGAATGTTCTTTAAGAAAGAACTTGGAGCTAGCCCTAGTGCTTCTGCTAATAAACGCTTATTATATTTATTTGTCGTATTTTCCGGATCGCGGCATATCTTTACTCGAATCTCGAACGTTTTTCCCAACTACTTCCATTTGCCTAATTCGTGTGATTTTCACACTTCGAAGCTTTTAAACAATCCAATAATTTATCATCATTTTTTCCTGCTGATGTCTACTGTAAGACTCGAATTAAGCTTAGCAATTCTTCAGGTATGTATATTTTCTAAGGCATTGACACTTAATTTTGCTTACCAACTCGTTGTGATAACTTTTCGCTTAAAAACACATAATTAGCCAATTAGCTGCAAAAAACAATTTGTCTTGTTGATTAAATTTAAAAACAGGGGATTTTTAAGCACACCCTAAATGTCTCTTCTACGACGGCCTAATCATCGAGTAAAATCTAGGACATTTTATCAGTAACTCTTTTCCCTTAAGCCTTCTCAGTTTGGAAAGTAATCCACTGTTTCCGTGCATAAAAGCGACCCATTTGAACAGCGGCTTATAAATTTTGACATACCAAAGGGGGTTTAAATTCATGCATTATTTAGAGCTTCTTTAGCCGGCTATAAATTGCACGCTAATTTTCCCACTAGCCATAAAAATAATTCAGAATTAATGCCTGAAGGGCGGTTTTATATTATGCTTTTTACATCTAAATGGGCAGCTAACAAGTAGATAATCATGTAACTCAGTTCCGTATTCTGCCAAGCATTAGGTATATCCAATATCAAATGCGCTCATGTAAGTGAATAGTTCGATTCTGTTTAATTGAACATGATTAGGAATCTGTTCCCCCGGCAAATGGTCTATGCTGCTTTACCGTAGTTATTGACTGCTCAAAATGGATTTTTGACTATTATTTGTCGTTTAAAGCGGATGCAGCTTCTATACAGAAGAGGCATGCCCAGTCATCTGACCTCGCTGCTGCTATCCTTGAACGACCAGGATTATTAAACCTGGCAACCAGACTACACAATATCGCTGGAAGCATTCTCGATCGAGCCCAACAGAATCGGCCGAATCATGGATTTGGACCACCCCCACCGGGACCTCCGGGCCATTATCCTCCGCATCCAGGATTCCAAGGGCACTATCCACCTCCACCTCCACCTCCACCCCCTCATGGAGGTAAACTGATCTCCAGTTATTCAATTTCAGGTCTTCTCCAGTAAGTTTTTTGCCAAGGTTATCCTGACTGGTTTGGCGGACATGGATATCCTGGATATGGACCTCCAGGTTTTGGGCCGCCGGGTGGGCCCCCGCCACCTGGAGGTCCGGGTTGGCCCCCTCCAGAATATGGACCTCCACCACCACCTCCTCCCCCATATGACCCATACGGACCCTATCACGGTGGTTAGTCGATTATCGACTGTGCATGTTCTTTGTGTTGTGGTGATCCTGTTCCTCATAACTGCACTAAATTTGTATCAAATTGCCTGTTTTTGTTGGTTCTGATATTTAACCAATTAACTTGAATTGATTTGAGTAGATGTCTCTTTGTCCATGTTTGTTTTTGTATTTTCTCAGCTAAAACTCACGTTTGATTTTAGGCAATTTTCCACAACCGCAGCCAGAAGATGAAGACAAGAAGCTGATCTCGGGTTATTTCGATGGAAACTTCCCAGTGATATTGCTTGATCAGGAAAATGAAGTTCGAAGATAGTTTGCTGTGCAGTCAATATTAAATCAATTTTAATTTTAATCAGAATTGTTTCATTTTCACCTCTGAGGCAAAAACAATGATAATAAAGCGCATTCGGCATCCAATGTATTCAACGTAGAATACGCTAATTAGGCAAATTATCCCATTGTTGAGTTTTATAGTGATTAATGGAATTTTCATATATCTGTAATCGCTATTTTGATTGCAAATTATGTGGTTGTTAATAAAACGTTGTTTCGCTAAAAATCCCCGAATTCAAACAATAATTACTTCATTAATAACCCAGAACTAAATAAACTAAACAAGGCAATCGTGTGAGAATATTTATTTACAAAAATAAATATGCATTAGATAAATCACAAAGAGCATCCACTAATGTTTTGGAATCTTCTGGATGTGAGACTCCCCCCTTTCCTTGAGGCTTTTCTTCTTTGGGGCGTAGCTTTCTCCTTCCGCTAACTCACCAGAACTGAAAAGGACGGAATTTTCCTTCTTCTCGTTAAGTATCTTGTTAATATCCCTTCCGAAAGCGCGTCTTCCGTATTTTACATCATTGAAGTTGAACGCTTCTGCCAGATCCGGATTTATGTCTTGGAGAGGCGTGTCTCCTGGTCTAATGTAGACAGCTACTACCCCAGGTTCGGAGTAAAGGAGGTTTCTTTCTTTCAGTCGTGCCGGTAGGGATTCTAGAAAAATTAGTTGAGTTAGAAAATCCAGATTAATATGGAGATTACAATACTTTTCTAGAAATAAGCGCCGCAACTTCCACATTCTGATATTTTGTGGCGCGCGTGTTCCACATTTCAGTTTCCAAAATGTGATGCGGGTGATTGATTTTACCCAAATGCTCTTATCATTTTAATGGAATTTTCAGCCACAATGTTGAAATATGTACATACAATAATAACGTTTATTTAAACTAATCAGGAAAATGTCACAAGACCTTGTCCCTAAATTCCTTTGATGTTTTGTTTTAAGCAGGATAAAAGGCTAACTTATCTAAATTAATTCATCCTACGGGTTCTCCAAAGTGACTTTCAGCTTTGAAATGATAAGGCCTGAACCCCTATTTACTTTCACTTTTTATGTGTATTTTATAAAGACTTTGAAACATATTTTATGAAACTTTATCAAAAGATCAAAAGGTTATCTAAACAGTCAAATTGAAATTGTTAAAAACCAATAGCATGAGCCGAATAAAATTGAATTCATTTATTCGACTCTAAAAATTGCATTTTAATAGTAAAATTCCCATTTGAATTAACTAAAATTGATATTTATTTATTGGATTGTAAAATTGAAGTGGGTTTCGAAAATTCGATTAATTTTGCTAGATTTTTTATGAATATTCAAGACTCAATTGTAAGGAAGTTTAATTATTGATGTACAAAAATAACAATAAATAAATACACACCGGTTAATGATGCGAAAATAAGAGCTCCGATCACAAGGTCTAAGATTCGGCCAGTAATCATGTTGAGGTAACGAAACGAGAAGGCACCAGCACACAAACGAAGAGATACACGGAGAGACTGACGCATTAAGTCAGAGATTACCTTTTATAACTTGAATGTGGTTAAGCTAGTAATATGTTCAATTTCTTTGATGAACGGATAATCGAAGCTGAAGACCCCAAACAATTTTTTTTCTTCAAATTTTGTTCTAGTGGAACTTTGCTCTGAGAGCAACTTGCGCATAAAAATTGTCAAAATTCAAAAACAAGAGATTGAAAATTTAACAAAAATTGCTCTTAGCAGTCGATGCGGTCGATTAAAACGAGTTGTAATAGAGTGGAGAAGAACAGTTGTAGTTGAAAAAGGCCCCTTTTTGCATTAGGTACAACGCATTAAAGTTACAAATTCTCTAGCAAAATTACGACTTTCCTAGAGTCTATAGAGGGCAAAAAAACATCTTAACTAATGCGTGTTAATTAACGATTGATTAAAATTTATTACTTTTAGATAAAATCGACCGAAACTCACGACTAGCTTTGAAAGGCATCAGTTTTAAATGCCGATAATATGACAGCATTCATGGAACAAAGCCTAATTTAACAATGTAAATCAGCAGTTTAAGTGGCTAGAATTTTAGGAATTAAGAGAAAAAGTGGTGTTGAAGTCACTGACGTCATTTTCTTTTATAAATTGTGATCCTTGAACTTTGCATATTTCCGCAACATTTCGGTATTGCGTTTTGTTAATTTCACCGTTATTCTTAACATTCAAAAACCGCATTGGGTAGTTCTCTCTACCAAGCCAAATCCTTAATAGTTTAGTGGCCCAAATTGGCTAACGTTTACATATCAAAGGGGACATCAACTGGTAAGATGCAGATTAAAACAGATTGTTAATAAATGTTGATAGCTTTTAGCCTACAGGATGTTAAAGCTTCAATGGAATTAAAATCCCTTCGGAGTTTTGAAGCGATTTCAAAGGCACAATGGAAAACCGCAAGCAAAAGAGCAACATTATGAAGAATCCACAACTGAGGCAAGCGGTTTTTCAAATCATATCCCTGCGGAAAAGAGAACGAAAACCGAAACCATTCAACAAAAATAAAAGCCCTACAAATGTAAATTTTAAGGTTCCCTCATGAACGCCATAAATATTAGATAAGGGAAACTTTTAAGAGTTCGACAAAAGAATTAAAAATCGCTGAAATTAACAACGACGGACATTCCTGTCTCCAGATTAAACATTCAGAACTGAAGGGATTAATGTGATTTTCTCTCTGCTACCCTCTGTTTATTTAAAATTGTTTCAGCAGTAGTTATATATTCTATTAATATCAGTTTCATATTGATAGAGCCTTTATCCACTGAAATTGAAGAGTTTTGTTTCATTCTTTATTCAATTTGATTTGGTCTAATTTTTAGTAATGTCTGCAATGTAAGTGTAGGATCAAAATCTTAAATAGAGTAAATTTCAGTCATTTCGTACCTGTTGTCTTGTCTAAAATAGCTTATCTTATCTACCGTGAGTAATTGAATGGTGTATGCTGGATAAAACAGTTGTGAAATTAGTGCTGGTATGTACATTTGCTTTATTCACGATTTTTAGCTTCTAAAAGTACGGCAAACCGTAAAATAATATTAATTTTCCAACAACATGTTCTGATTTCAGTTGCTTTGGAAGCGCAGTAGCAACTGCATTAATTTTATGTCCTTTGAGCGAAGTAAGTCGTACATGAACTGTAACCCTTTTATCAATTAATTTCTATAGATAAAACGAAAAACAATCAAAGGCGTGGCATAACATACTACTTTTGGAAAGCCACTGACCGTTAAAATGTTACACGTTAATGTATGCAATATTTTTACTATTTAATAGCATCAAATGGGCTGTAAATGCGATTACTTAATAGCTTCAATGATGCAATTGGTGAACTAGCGAACTGTAGTTTTGCTTTATGCATTATTTAGATTGGATTTAAACGAGCTAATAATAAGCGAAATTCGGCAAATCAGTTCATATAGTTCAGACTAGATAGTTTCCAATATTTGGGAATTGATTGACTTGCTTGAGTTTTCAGTTGCATTAAACTGACTAGTGAAGACTAAATAATTGGCTTCTGCAACTAGGAATATTATAGAACAGAAACTAAGAATGATTCACTTTGCGAAGAGATTAAGTATCGGATAAGTATTGATCTTCTTCATAGTCTGATATATCGGATAAGTATTGAATGGACATGTTGAAATCGAATTACAGGTTCATAAATGACTGTGTTTATTAAACGTATTTCCGATAAATGGCTTAGTTCAATATTAGTTCAGTTATCATTAATTTTTTTAAATAGGGGTATCTTATCACATCCATTTTGGTATAAAACTGTCGCTTTGGGATCCTTTTTACTGCAGGTTCAAACTGTCCTTATCGGCAAAGTAAATCTAGTGCAAATTGACTACCATTTTGCTCCTAGAATAATAAAAAACCAACTTCAAAAAAGGTTGTCCAGTCCTCAGGATAAATTTGATGAAATTGTTATATTTTCAATTCTGAATCAACAACAATATTAAAAATACCGGTATGGTTTCTAAAAGGTGATGATGCTTGATGGATTTCGCATACATATTGTTTATATCTATTACCACCACTTCCGCCATGAAGATACAATAATTGGTTATTGTTAAAAAATCAACAGGTTTTTTGATTTTACATGAATATTAATCAACGCAATTATGACTAAATTATTGTTAGATATTTTTTCAGTCTCACATAATACTTGCTATAAGTCATTATTCGTTGAATTGTCTACAGACACGCGGATGATGATTCACAGAATATTGTAATCGGTTTTAAATCAACTGCCGACAGAAATTGCGATTAAATGTTTGCCGTTTACCCAGCTAATTTTTTGGTAACGTAGATAATTTTTGCTCCTTCTGTTACCTCCGAGTCCAACTTAGACATCCACTATCTTCCACGTGGCCTAATTTGCGATGTAAACTCGCTTACAGCGGTCGTTCTGAGCCCTGAAGCTGATCAATCATTTCAACTTTGAAATTAGTAACCCAGTAATATAATAGTGATAAATCACCTTGACTCATATGCAAACCATCACCTTCCAAAAAAGAAAAAAATGATAGTTTAATGTTTTAGAGGATGACATTGGTAGCATCTAGATAAACTAAAACCCTCCGAAACAAACCATTTTGCATATCTATTCCTGGAACAGATTAGTGTATACGGGCCTGTTCCAGTGCCTATGATAAATTTAGTGCTTTGGCTCCCTTATTTAGCCAATCCTATATATTAAACGAGATAATAATTATTTTAGTAATCTTATCACCTGCAATATTCTCTGACACACATTCACCACACCTAGAGTAAGGAATAGGCAGTTGTGGAGCTGAACTGTAGAGCTATGGAACTGAGGGTGATTTTGGTGCAAGTGATAACAATTTGGAGTATAGGCTATTGTCAGGCAAATACAGGTAAATAGAAATCAATGTTTTCCTAATCGTGTTAAAACGTATTTCTGCGCTTATCAGTAGCGAATGTATGGATTATTGAACCATGTTGATGAGTGAGAACGTGAAATTGGCCTCATATTCATCCAGGAAACATATTAGAGCATCCTTGAAATATGCTTCAAATATCCGGGAAAAATATTCCAACTTCCTTTATCGACATTAAATTTAGAGCCAGTTTCCCAAGCGACCGAAGTAATAAAATTATTACCCTTATTCGATATATCGATATAATGCTGGTAGGCGAGGAACCCTTAATGCATTCTTCCACTACCTAGAATTACTTGTAAATTAACCGAAAACCGCTCACACTTGAGGACTAATCGCTAGCAATTTGCAAATGCCCTCGGGGGAAAAGCTGTTGAAACTTCAAATTTATCCCTAATCAGGATGGTCGCCCTCAATTGCAATAAATACATTTTTGTTTAATAACTAAATTCCCAATTCAAACATCGGTAAATTATTCCCTAGGGAACAATGTTGGTGCTCAAGTCTCGCAATGTTACAACAATACGGCCCTGCCAGGTATAACAACGGCAAACGAAAGACCGCCGGCCAGTTTAAACTTGTTTATTGAATTTATCCGAAAACTGGAAGATGCCAATCCCACTATGACCCCTAGAGAATTAGCTCTTCACATACTGCACAGGTAATGTGGCTGTTTTCTAGCATTTCCATGTACTACAGTAATCAACTCTGTCCAGATTACGCCAAGATGGAATCACCCAGACTGGAAGAACAATTGATGAAAGATTCGGACTGGCATATTCCGCAAGTAGACCAGAACGGTACAAGTTCAGAGTTCTGCTTCAAAGTTTGCTCCCAAACGCTGAACAAACCTTAGCAAGTGGGCAGCTTTCCGATTTTGAAAGAGTACGCTGAAAGCAACAAAAGCCGTTCATCTGCAATACTTTCATTTCATTTTAGTGCTCCTTACATTACCTGATATCGAACACAATAGCCGATATGCAACGAGAAAACGAAGCGCTCGAATGTTCCAGATCATCTAGATATACTTTGCGAATCCATCACAGACGTCGTAGAGAAGATGATGATACGGAGGATACTGAATTAGTCAATCAAGACTCTGGTGGTAATTTAGGACTGCTATCCACGAATGTAGCGAGGAATTTAAGTCAGTGTCCGATTGAGCTGGGTGTTGTACAGACACAATCAGGAACCATTAAAGCTGGCAATGTCCTAGCTGGAATTGCAGCTGGTTTGAACCCTCAAACCGTAGGAAATGGTACTGTTGATAACAGATATGCTGCCACAATCATAGGTGAGATGAGGGAAAGGCAATTTGTTCACCTTTTACGCAAAAATCATGCACTTTTCAGGGGAATTGGCCGAAGCTTCACTCTATCAAGCAGATCCAACTATTAGCCTGGGAGCGTCCGGAGGCTGGAACAGCACAATCAATCCCAAGTACTTTTTCTTGCAAAACAACAACCTCCTCCAGGCGACAGACGCGGAACTAAGAGGAGCATTAGATGGACTTTACATCAGTCTAAGAATGACCAACTTGACCTCAGCCTTTGCAGACTTGAAAATATCCCAGATTATTGACATGTATTACTCGCCATACGATAAGGGGGTTTTCGACAGTTCTTTCAAAGCTTGCAACAGAAACATCCTCTATACGGAAATGACCACCAGCGAAACAATGCGAACTCAATTGCTGAACTTTATGCCTCTGTTAAACACCGCAGCCTTATCTGGCATATCGCTAACTCGAGATGCTTTCGAGGTGCTTTCTAATTCTAGCATTTCCGCGTTTGGTTCCTATTTACGTAAGTTGATATTAAAATTTTTTACACTTCAAGTAAATTTGTGAATTTCTAGCCCAAATGACTTCAGCAGATTTGACTTGCGCAACCAATTTGTCGATTGAACGAGTCAAAACTGATCTTCTCATCTTCATTGATTCTGGATGGCAATTCGGCACACTTCAATCGGTTTTGTCGTAAGTTCCTGACACCGTGAGTTCACACAGTTTGGTTTACCCAGATGTTTCCAGGTACATTTTGAACAACATCGATGTAAACCCATTTCAATCAAAATATACGCTCTATGGGGGAACTAGCCTGAGGAACTTGACTGCAAATGGAACAAGCTACTTATCCGATTTTTTCCTTCAGTACAACCAAACCGTGCATGCTAATGGTAAGTGAGTCTTGATCCTGGAGAAGAACTGTCTAGAATAAATTTGCCCTTTCTCAGAAACTGCTGGATTTAATTACGTGGATATATTCCAAACATTGGAAAGCTATGGATACCAAAAGTTGAACGACGCCAGTTATGCGGGGGGAGAAAGCACAGTAGCGTTACTGGTTCCGAGAACCAGCCTAACTGATGACCAGAGGACGTTTTTAACTCAGAGGAGACAAGTTTTTAACGCCTATTTGCCAGGTAAATGTGTTAGAAGGTTGGGGAATTCAATAAATGATCATCTGATATTGCAGATGTAAACTTTTTGGTACTGGGCAGTGGAGCGGCCAGCGACTACTCGACCATCGTTTCCAATACTAGAGACGTGGTTATTTTGCAAGATACTATTGTTGAGGAAACTTTAATCAGTCTCGGTCAACAAGTGGTGAACAATATCAAAGATGGTGAGTCTGAAAATATACTTGCAATATTTTGGGAATATTTGGGGCATTCCTATATGTTTTTCAGTTCCAAGGGCTCTAGTAAACCCTGCATGCACCTCTCAGTTTACTGGCGCCAGCAGCACCTTCTTCATAACGGGTTATGTGGAACCCAATGGTATAAACTACTATCGGATTTCGCCCAATTATTTCTATTCAGGCGGCGACACCAGGAATCTTATCCTAAGGGAACAGGTAGGAAGTGATGTAAAATTCATATTTAGTTCTGGCCAATTAGTCCGAAATATGGGCAAAGTTGCAACAATAACCGCGGAATTTTGAAAGGCTTTTGCTGCGGCTTTCCTGGTTGTAGCCTCCATTCGTGATATTTAATATATCCTTCTTAATTGACCTGACACAAACATTCTATGGGGCACGTATTTTGAGGGCGAGCTGTGCATAAATTATTATTCATTAAGCTTTGTATCGCATCAAATTCACTGGCTATTATTGTCTTATCAGGGACATGGTGCGGTCAGTATTTGCATCGCCAGAGGAACCAGGCCGGACAATTCCACGGGAGATAACTGCAGAACTCTTTCATCAGCGGAAGAAGCAATCGACATTACCAGCTATTGCGATGGTAATTCAGTAACCGAATGCCAACCAATTTTCCTGTCAGTTGCTGGTGTGAGTTCAAACATCGTTTGCTCTGGTAAGCTACATCAGCAAATTTTTTGCGTCTAACTGATGATTGAAGTGATTAGCTTCCATCGCTTAGTTGCATAATGTCGAATCGATTTTATTTGAACTAAAAACATTTATGTCTGATTATCTGATAACAGTAAAGCCCGCAGGTGTACAGTTTCCGCATATGAACAATTTCAATTAATGATATATACAAAATACATTTTAATAATAAGACCAGGCGAACCTGGCTATTGGAGCGTAGTCTGAATACTTGACCATGACTAAATTAACTTCGGTTTACCGGAGAATTGCCAAATAAACGCAGAAATTATCAACTTTTGAGGGGTGGTAAATATTCAGTTTTTTTGCTCTTGATCTTCAGCCCAGTATATATTCTTTCATCGGATGAATGTAATTCAAATCGAACTTAATAAGACAAGTGTTGTTTTCACACACTTAAAGGATAAATAGTTTAACTGAGGTTTCATGTTTAAGCAAAATTAGCTAACTGTATTTTACTGGGTACATATTTTTGTCTTCATAGTTTTTCCTTTGATCATTAATTAGTCACTGTTATGCTTTCAGCTGCAATTTTTTTTGAGGAATAATTTCCTTTTTTTCAGCCGCTGCCTGTCGCTACCCCAATGACATTGCATATAGCATTACAATGGAAAATGTAGGCTGCAATACGAGTGGATCGATAGCTGCAACTGCTAGTGTGATTTTGGTGATTTTGCTTTGTGCTTTGGCACGATTTTCGTAAACTTTGAGCAACTAAAACACACTTTTTTTCGTCGAGTTAAATTAATTTTGCTCGGAAAATCAAGGAAATTACAAATATTTATCCTGCAAATTTAGACGCACCGAAGCAAAGGGTTTGGAGTTTATTCTTGATGTACAACTAATGAAATCACTTGCCAGAGACGAACAATTTAATTTGCTGCTGAAAGTATGTTTGACATTTTCGTTGCCAACTAGGTAGTGTTTTTACCTTTTTTGTTACACCGCATTCCTTTTTTTTTAGCGATTTAGCTGTTATGTTTTGCCATAATTTTCCATAAATAATATATTTAATAAATAATCTATTACTGCCCTTTTAGGACTGTACAAATTTAATAAAATAAGTTTTAGCTTTAGAACACTGTTTCTTAAATTTCCCGTTTCCCAATAAAATTTTAAGTTTTAAAGCGCGTAAAGTGTTTTAGTATCAGTAACAAAACTGGCGGTATTAAACCAGTTTTGCGACACCTGCTGGAAACCGGTAAATGTTTCGGGCTGATGAGCTAAAAGCAAAGTTTCGGTGGTTGCGGCGTCAAGCAAGCCACCACTGAAGATGCATGCCCCTCGTGCTTGCGAAACGTCAGGAATAAATTCTTTTGTACGATCGCGTCAAAATCCCGAAAAACCTACCAGTTTGCGTGTACTTTGTTGATTCTTTTGCCTTTGTTAGAACGCCAGGAAGAAATTAGTTTCTACGACGGCCTAAAAGCGACAAAAATGCGAAACACTTAATGCTGCTTAAAGCTGGCGAATTTTTCGGGCCTTAGAAAATAATTTTTTCCTGACGTTTTACAAATAGGAATGGCTTGCTCTTTCAGTGGAGGCTTAACTCGTGTTTGCGAAACTTTGCTTTTAATTCATTCCTTTCCACAATGACTTAAAAGCCCGAAAAACTGAACAGTTTCAAATTTGCGAGATATCAAAGCACATGCCCCACCAAGGCTTGATTGACGCACTTTTGCAAAGGAAGATTATCCTAATTAAGTTACTAAAATTTAGACAAAATAATTAATAGTAAATGTATCGAGGGGAATATATACTGATTAGGGTTTGCCGGTTTTTAAAAACCGGGTTTTTGGAGAAATTTATGAAATTCGAAAACCTAGTTTTTAGTAGAAAATATCGGTTTTCAATGTATGAATAACACAAAAATTTGAAAATGACAAATGTAGCCAAATATACCAGATTGATGAAAACACTGTCGCAAGCGGTTTGGTTCTTGGAATCATATCAGTTCGATATAATTTCAAGAAACGGTGTGTTTTGTCTATTGGATGAATTAATTTAGATTTTATATCAGTTAGTCTTCTGTTGTCTTTATGTGCAGTTCATAAATTTAGCGTTCAGTGCCATTGATCGATATTTGATATACATAGATGATATACAAAATGTAAGTAGGGTATTTCAATATTATAAAAATATAAATTTTTATTTATATTTTTTATATCTTTGTAGTCCTAAATGTCAGACGTGTGGAATTATTTCAAAAAAGTAGACACAGAAAAAGCCCGTTGTATTTATAAGTGCACAGCCCTGTATTCTTAACTTTGTGAAAAGGACTAGTTTAGAAGAATTTGTATCAAAACTTGCTGCATTGGATATCAAAACTTGCTGAATTGCATAACAAATAGCTCGATCATACGTGAGTCATTGCAGCAACGAAACTGTTGCTTACCATAAAATAATTCTAGAGTTATGAATCTTATTTATAAGTTTTATGCAACTATAAAAAATGAAACTATGAATGAATTAAAAGAATAAAGGGCAAAAATTTTCTATAACTTAAGATGAATGGACTAGTAAAGGAAATCGAAGATATTTAAATATTAGCGTACATCAATCCTGGTAAAGTATTATTTCTTTGTTCTACTAAATTGCATAAAAAAATTACTATCAATAAATAAATTCAGTAAAAAACAGTTTAATCACTCTAAATTTTCTGTTAAATTTTTTTGTTCGAATTACAGAATATTCGAGCAAAAATTTTTCTAAAATATCTATTTTTGTATAAACCCTAGTTCTGACGTAGCAGTAATTATTTTAACCACTAGTTAGGCTGGTATTTGAGGCCGATAATAGGTAGAGAATCTTGAATAAGCTGTTTTGAGGCAGCACATTTTAGCATCATCATTTAATTTGGAAATTCCAGGGTGTCTGAAATAACAACGAAGCCCAATTAGGGCCCATGTGAGCCTTTTAAAAATCTGCAATGAGTAACAATCCCGATTAATTAATAAAATTCCATACTTAGGCCGGTCTATCTTAATCAAGGCTTTTCACATTAAATAATCGTTGAGAGGATGCAAATTATTTTGATCCATCCCAGATTATAATTATGTCAACCTTGGCAATAAGAATAAAGGCATAAAGTGGGTTGTCATAATTCAGCTTCCAGTTTAATTGAAGGATTACCGTTGGAAATTCGACAATCAATTCGAGTAAAATTTTCCGGTTTGGAAGTTTCCAAATGTTTTCAAGAATGAGCTCTACAATCCTTCACTGGTAAAGGATGTCGTTTCAGCATGGTGCATGAGAGTGGGTTGTTTATTTTTTAAACCACTTGCTATGGACGAAATGTAAGTATATTGATAAAGATGAATGAAAAGTGCAATTTCCCTTAGGATTCACCGCTCAGGCATAAAATCCCCGCGCATTTCTCCTGCCTCTCATTGTCTGTTTATGCAGTTTAAATGCGCTTTTATGCAATTATGAAATCAAAACTTTGCCCCCAGTGCACTTTACAGTCTTCAGTAAGAGCGAAATAAATTTCCTATGGTTCGAGTTTCCTACGCTGTAAATCTAATCAATTGGGAACCAGCAGATCCCAAATCTTCATGCAATGGCGGAGGTACCACGGCACCACGTTTAACAGAATTTTAATTGAAATATTAATTTATTATGTTTAATTACTGTTCCTGATGCCCATGTAATTGATATAAAGACTGAGTTTACAGGAAATTAAGGACATTTTTGTTTAGTTTTGCATGATCATCGGTGAGAAAAAGGGGCTATAAACATATACATATAGGGAGGCCAAAAGGTCGAAATATATCGATATGGCTCCCGTACCCAGCTCTATCACAAGAACCATCCTGATTGTTTCAGTCGCTTTTTGTTTTCCGCTCATCACGTACGAGGTACCTAGGAAACCACTTTACGGGGGTTATGCGATTAGTTTCTCGGAAGCTTTATTCCACAATATTTGTGTTCCGTGGCTGAATTTTCAATTTCGCTGAGTTAATTTTTCTTGTAACTTAATCTGTAACAAAGTTTAAATCGTTGTACATTCGCAAAAAAAATAGTCGAGAATGCCCAAAGATCCGGCGGTAAGTTTACATTTTACTTCGCATTTGAAAGGAATTAGGTTCGAGTATATTGTTTAACCCCCTGAGTGCATATACACAGTGAACTGAAAACAGGTGGTTTGAAGCAAAAAACATTGCCATGTCGGTCCGTGTTGATTTGCCTAATATAGTTTATTCTGTTCGTAGGATCTTAATCCCAGTTGCTCTTTTTTCGGACGAAATAAAAAAAACCGAGGGAGCAAAAAGGCCCTGAACACGCAAAACTATAATTTTTGTTTTTGCCGTTAGTTTAATGAGCTCCTAGCGTTTTCTTTGGCCCTTTTGTTGTTTTTTTTTGAGTTCGTAACAAAATCTTTTTTAGCAACTGAGATGAAGATCCCAGAAACAGATTACTTAAGTTAAAGCAAAGAAACACACACATAAGGAAAAAATTCCACCATACAGCAAACCGAGAAAAAATAATACCTAAAAACAAATAAGGGAGATGAACGAGAAAAACTGAAAATCTGGACGACATCTGACTACATCGTCTGTTGGGGGAACTTTTCTCTTATGCAGTTTATTGTGTTTGTAGGATCCTTATCTCAGTTGCTCTTTTTTGTTACAAACTATAAAAAAACGAGGGAATGAAGGAACTGAGATGAAGACCCTGGCAACATAGAATTATTGACAAGGAATCTCGATTCGAGCTAATAAGAACTGAAGAACTAAAGAGGACTCTGGCCGTAACACTAAGATGAAGACCTTAGAAACGCATTAAACTATAGATAAGAAAACAACTGTTGAGCTTCGTATGTAGGGCTGAAAAATTATATGCTGGTCATGTGCGTGAGTTTAAGGGCGGAAAGCTCGACATTTTCCAGTCCCAAACCTGGGCGGAATTTCTTATTAGGTACTCAATTCATCCCTCAGCAAAAACTTTTCTTGTTAACATCCGATAAATCTAATAGTTCTCGCGATATTCGACTTTGCATATTTTTTGCTGCTCGATTACTTCTAGTAAATTGGAACCGTAACGAGTACAATGGCAATTTGGAACCCGGAACTAATAAACCATGTAGTTCAAGTTCAAAACCAAGCCAATCCAATTGTTTATCGCTGATTTCCAATATGTTGCCATTAAACTGTGCAGCGAATCTCATTGAAAATCTCTGACAAGGCTTAATTACGGGCCAGCATAGGCAGGAAAGGGTTGCTTTATGAAGGGGACTGTTATTTCTCTAATTAGAAACTGGCCATTTGCATTCTAGAGGCCTTACGTGGCATTTCTATTTAGAACTGATGTGCAAATTAATTTTGAGTAACATGTAATGTTTGCGTTAGTTGCCAAACTTCATACCGCAATTTGTTTGAGTTAGGCTTTGTCCATTTACTCAAATCTACACGGGTGTTTCACGCTCAAATTGAAGGAAACTTATTTGAAGGACTTCGTTAGCTAAGCTTGTAAAATTGTTAGCACTTCCTTAGACTAAAATTTTAATTCATTTCGGTCAATTTTGAATCTAACGATATTGAGTAAATACCTCAGTAGGTATCGATGCGCTCTTATCACTTATGATATGTTTTCGCTTAGCTTTTGTCTAAAATTAATGAGGTAAGATAAAATTGGGTTAGAACAAGGAACAGGTATATTACATCGTTATCAAAAGATATCGCAACGATAGGTAAGGTTCGAGCAAAATTTCGCTTATCTGGTTATGAATGATTAATCTATCATTTGAGCTCGGGTTTAATGTGTGAAAATAATGCGCCATGAAAGGTTTTCTAACGCTCCTGGTGATTTTCATATTTAGCTTACTGAGTGAGTAATTTGAAGTATATCAATTTATTAATATATGCGACACCGCCTCGGAAACCCTCTAAAATAATTGCGAAACAACTCACAAAAGCTTGTTTGATAGAAAACTGCACAACTACTTATTTCTCACTGTTTCTTGTTGCGAAACTAATTAATTCACCTGGAAACTTTTGTGTTTTGATCAACTCGTTGCTTTGATTCCATTCTGAAGCGTTCACATTCTTTATGGCTTGCAGAAATTGCTTGCTCCATTTTCTTGGAGCATTGTTCACTTTATCCAAGGCGACTACTTATGGCGATTTATAGTTCAGAATTTCTTTAATTGGATGGAAATTATCTACTCAATTATTGTAAAAGCTTTAAAACAGTGGACGACAAACGGAAATGGAACATTAAGCATTTATTTGTAACTACTACTTAGACATTAATTACAACAGCTAAAGTATAGGAGTCACTTGTGTTTCCCTCGATAACTTTTCAAAAATGGACAACTTTAAGTAGTTAAACAAGTTAAAAATTTATCATTATTTCCAGGTCCCGTACCAACAAGCTGTGAGACTTCGCCATTAGTTTCCGAAATTTTACAGCCATGTTACAGACGAAACTTTACTGTTGTGTCTAGGCCGCCCCTCACAATACAAATTTTAATCGAAATGCTTCGCAAAGTGGAAATAAGCAAAAATTATGGGATTAATACCAGAATGTTTGCAACATCGATTATGCATGGGTGAGAAAGTTCAGAAACATGATGAAGTTGCGAAAGTAATTTATGGCAAATTTGGCAATAAAATGCCCTCGCAGATTTTTTCCTGTTTTTCTTTTCCCAATTTCTTACTCATAACCGATTTTTAGAGTGGTTTTTGATGGTATCCAAAGATCCCCAGGTGTTCAAGTAGACGACGCGTTTGCAATTCCTTACGCAGCCTCTTTGAATAAATTTCACAAATACAAAGTGATCGTGGACTACTTGATATCCGGAAGAATGTCGCAGTTTCCCATCGAAACACTGACGCAAAGTGAATTTTGTTTCCTACATCGACTCACTTCAAATACTGTTGATGTGTATGAGAGGGGAGACGAAAGGTCGACTTGCGAAGACAACAGTTTAATGCCCAGGTAGATGCAGATGCTTCCTAATGTTCGAATGTAAATTGTTTAAGACGCAGGACAAATCTTGAAAGGCGATTAAAATCAACCCCCTGCCAAATTCAGGAACAATTACAATCCCTGTTTAATTGTCGCAGAAAATCCATTCAGCTTTAACAAATAAAATCGTTTAAAGTTCGGTGCTTATTGTTGGGGAATTATTATCGCAAAGCGTATTTTAATTATCTGATTGGGAGATCTGCATTCAAAGGGGCGGAATACGCCCTTTGAAAAGCGGGCGTTTTGTTAAAATTTCACAGAAGAAGAAAATGCTTGAGCAATTTATTAACAAGCACTCAGGAATTTGAAATTGGCTACGAGCAATAACGGAAAAACTATTTTAGTTCATTTAGTAAAATGGAAAAATTCAGTGCAGGCAAATTTTATTGTATTCGGTACTGGAAAAAATCCTATCCATCCCTCTTGGATTGTCAATGATTCTGAGGAGATTCAGTTGGGGCAAAATGTACATCAAGCAAAAGCCCGCGATAAAATATCACGCGCTATATAAAGTATCTGATAAATATTTATCAAACATTTAACCGTTCATTTATTATGATATAGGGCAGTCATTCGCATGAATGAGAACCCCGCAGAGGTATGATTTGATTTTATGAACCCTTGAGGGGTACAAAAACGTTCAGGAAAGGTTGTTTCTCCCGTGCGTGTATATTAAATTTCCCCAGAATATTTGACACTTACAAGGGTCAAGCTGTAATATCATAATTTCATTATAGCTAGATACTTCATTTAACTGTTTATATCACGGCTAAAATTTGATCAAACGCCCTTTTTGCGCTGCAGGTGACAGGAATCAGTTTCTACCCTTTTTTGTGGGTGAAAATCACATTTTCTTGAACCTGGCAGTAGAGGTGTTGACGAGGAGTTGGGCACAAGGAAAATAAATTCGCTAACATTCACGTAAATATATTTGTAAAATAGAACCAACTGAACAAGGCTTGTGTAAGTAGGAAATCGGACCGGTTTAACTGCATATGGCTCCTATCTTCTTGTAGCATCAGGACCTGTAGGCTACATATCAAGCCAAAAGCATTAGTCATTTGCGTTGTTTTTAATATGAGAAACGTCCAGTGAATATAAAATAAAAGGGCTGGTTTTTCTGAAATAAACGAACCGAATAAAGTAAAAGGGAGGAATTATTCTAAAATACGTTTCCAGTTTCCGCATCTCCCCTGTCGCATTACAAATAAGGAAATATAAAAGCGACGGCTTTTATTCGCCGCAAATGATAATGATCGGCTTTAAGCTCAGATTGGATTAAGCCACCACAGGAATTTTGCTTGTAATCCACTTTTATATGCGAACAAATTGTCAGAACTTTTTCAATTGAGAAATTAAACACGTTATATGAAAAAGCCACGAGGCATGAATTGAGAATGGATTTTGTTGCAGTTCACTTTTAACTACCACCCCATTAAGCAACTGCCCTTTGAAGCTTGGAAACGTAAAAACAAAGTGGGGCCCCGTATCGGTATCCCACCTAATTGCAGGAATAGCGGCTGGATTGCAGCAGGAACAAGTCACTTTCCAAAGGGTGTTTGAAGCTATTCATTACCATAAAGGCTAGTATATTTTGCCGTTTAGCTTGGAGGGGATATGAAAATCGCAACCATTGTTTCATGAAATCAAAATTCTTAATACTCTCGCGACCTGCTTAAAATGCATAGAATTAGTTTATTACTCATTGGGCTTCCACATTGAATATATCAGGAAATAATTCTACTTACAGCTTCTGGCTTTAATTCGAATATAGCCACAATCCTGATTAATGCTTTTCCTATGGTGCTTCTCGAATATTAATGCGGATTGTTAGTAGTAATTACATCCATTTATCCAGCCATTTTAGGCATTAATAATCAAATCGCTTTTGCAAAGGTTTAATTGGGATATGGTTGAAAGGGACATAAGGTAGTTAAGCAATTATTTTTTCAATAGGAGTTAGGAAGGCCTACTATCAATCTGGATCAAATGAGACTAACTCGACTCAGGAAGTTGATGCTGTACTTTTCGCCGCCATAGCCGGAGATTTAGGCGAAGTTCTTTTGAGTCAAGCCTCAGAAAATCCTATAATCGGTAATCAGGGATATTGGCATGATACCCTGATGCCGAGAGCGTTTTATTTGAAATCTCAACAATGGGACTTAACGGAAGCTGAAATTCTTGCAGGAATTGACGGTAATTATTTCAGTATCCGATGAAAGCAAATTGAATTGAACTAATGAATAATTACAATCGGCAGCTAAATGTAATTTTCTTATTGTTTCAGCGGCTATAATCGGGAAAAAAACTCAATATCTTCTCAATATTCTAAGCAGCACCAGATTATCACAGCTTCTGGATATGTATTATTCAGACCGCGGTATTCCTTATGAATTCCATTTTAAAGTAACTAACAGGACTGAAGCTTTGCGGTATCTATATCAGAATATTGATTTTTCTAATCAGGTAGGCGTTCAGTCAGTATTATAAACCCTAATTATCTATGAAGGATTCTTTTTAAGATATATGGCGCAACGAAACTGCTCCAAGCCATTAAAGGCACGTACAGTTTTACGTTAACGAATAGCTATATTCAGACGCTATCCAATTTACATGCAGCGGACTACAGAGAAAAAGCAGGTAATCCAAAACAGTGTTTCGAGTTTCCTATTACTTGGGTACTAATAAAACTCAATTGAGTTATGGGTTAAAGGGCACACAGGCCTGAACTACCTATCTATCCTGCTATTATGTACGAATTGATCGAAACTCTATAGAGCCCGCTAAACTTTAAATTAAGTTCCGTGAAGTTTATGCAAAGATCTCTAAACGAAACTTCTAACTTTCTGTTGCAGGATCAATAGTAAACAACTACGATAAAACTGAATTTGTTTCTGTCAATCAGTTGGCGGCCAGTTTGGAAGTAATAGTTATTCTGGATGGCACTTTTGATTCATATTCCACGCAACAAATGGTGTAGTGAGTAATTGTCATTTACCACAGGATTAAGTTGCTCATCCAGCAGCTTAAATTTTGCCCAAATGCTGGAATTGTTATTTCCATAACGCGAGATAATTTAATTCAAAATTAGAATTCTCCAAGAGAGATGATTAGTGAAGCCCCTTGCTAAACAAGTTTTAATCTCCACAACATGACAAATTAAGAAGTGTTTTACATCCCTAATATCAATTCCTTACAGTAATATCTGAAAGGCAGGTTTATTCCGTTTATTTTCCATTCTAGTTGAAAATAAAGCTTTACTAAACGCTCTTAGACGTTTTTGCGGTCTTCAACTCACAGACTGAGCGTATTGGCAATTGGAAAAATTACGTCCATGTTCAGATTATCTTTACACAACCTTCCATTGGTTTATAGTTTGCTTTCCGAAGCTATCGATGTCTCTTACTACGGAAGTAGATTGGGAATTATCAACGGCCAAACTGGAGCATGGATAACCAATGTAACGCAGGAAAATTTTGAAATCTTTCGCAGTTTTCAAGTGATGGATCAAGAAGGAGCATGTGAGTACAATTTGCGTTGATTTATACCTCATTAGAACCCACTCTAAGCTAACGGAATTGTTTATAATATCCAAAGTAGGTGACTTGGAAATTACATTAAATGCCTCATAAATATTATTTAACGATGACCTAACCATCAGAGCGTAGCAAAGGCCCACTATTGAATACATGGTCATTAGCGTTTTTATATACCTAAGCATGCAAGGATAATCGTGTGTAAATTGGTTTAATTTGATTCTCCTACAGCTGAAGACATTTAAATATGCCTCAGCGCTAATGGATTCTTGTAGTAAAATATCATTTCTGACTTTCATGTGGATTAACGGAGATTTTTTCATAGGGCCAGTTACATTGTCTCTCGGTCGAAGCCTGGAAACCGTGATAGAATACTACCAGAACAGAACCCAATTGGACTGTAGTGTGAAAGTCATGAATCCCATTGGTCAAGCAGTCGTCGTTTTTGGTGGAGATGGAAGATTGACGACTTCTGATAACACCAGGGCCAGAAGGTCTCTTGAAACCATTAAGCAGGCCTATCCGCAAACCGTTATGGTCTATGTTAGTCAGGATGTGGATGGCGTATTAAAGGTAATCAGAAATTTTCACAAATAAAATAATCCACGTTAAATTACAAAATTTCTCAGTTATCACAGCTAGGGTTTTGAGAAATACCGAATTTCCTCACGTTCTTTACTAGCAATTTATTTTTTATAAGAAAGTCCGCGCTGAATGCCGAAAATCTCGCAGTTATCGCAGTTAGGGTTTTTAAGAAACACGAAATTTCCTCACGTTCTTTACTGAAAAATCAATGCGCTTTTCGTTCGTAAGAAAGTCCGTTTGAAATTAGGAAATTTCTCAGTTATCACAGTTAGGCTTTTGAGAAACACCGACTTTTCGCACGTGCTTTATTAGGAATTGATCAGCGTTCTTTTCATAAGAAATCAAAAAACTGCATTAAATTAGCAAATTTTGCTGTTGTTACAGTTAGGGTTTTAAAAAACAGCGAACTTCCTTACGTCTTCTATCAGGAATTGACGAACGCTTTTTTTCATGCGAAAGAAACTCTGCGTTAAGTTATCACAATTAGGGTCCTACTTTACCAATTTTCTTACGTTTTATACTCTGAATTGATAACGAGTGCTCCTTTTATATAAAGGACGAATCCTTATCAAAACGCAGCGTCTGATAAAAAAATTCGTCCGTTTTACAAAAAGAGCACTCATTATCCATTCATATTAAAGAACTTGCGAAAAATCGGTCTTTTCCAAAAGCCTGAAATATTGAAGGGAAATACCCCAAATAAAAGGTGCTGTAAGGTCGGTTTGAAACGGATTTCAATGTGAGAAGCCACTCTATCGACATTTTAATATGTATTTACACGTTAGAACAATGAAACAGAATTATGCATTGTCTTGGAAAGCCTTAGAAACCAACCTTCAGCAAATTCCACTTTGAAATTTTTCGCATAAACAGGAGTCATGAAAGGAATATTAAGCTGAATGCTCAAAGTAATGTTTGATTTTGCGGCCAAATCCCGATTTAATTGGAATATCGCTTGAACTTTGGAGGAATCCATATTCGGATGTTTAAAGAGGATTAGGCAGGATATATGAATGTTGATTCCACATTTAATATAGAGGCGTAAAAGGCAAAGATTGGGATGATAATGGGTGTTTATATACATTTCGGTTTCTTTATATGAAAATAGGTAGTTGAGGCTCGGGGAAAGATGAAGTATTTAATTAACTGTGGGTTTATAAATTGTAGGAATTATCTCTTAATGAAGACGACTCCCTGGTAAATCCTTCCACCGATGTGCTTTCTACAGTAGCAAAAATAGCGGAAAAACTGAGCGTTATTCCTGCCAGTTTGATCAAGTTCTACTGCAATCATTCGGATGTGCGTTTCGAGCATTATGCCACACCAGGGGTGGAGACGGTTTTTCAAATCCATAGGGAATATATCAAACGTGGCTACGTAAATACTAAGGTAAGCCGTTTGATCTAGTGCCTACTCGAATTAAAAAAGAACCAGAAGTAGGCGGGTTGATGGGTTTTGCTGAATCACTGGAAAATTCCCGTCTACCTTACTTATAAATTAACTTCAAACGCGTCACGCCGAAGCATACAAATCACTTTTACATATTCGAGTCATATAAGGCAAAGACATTCTCTCTTTTTTCTAGTTTACAAAAGAATCAATGACACCACGCAGAACGGGAGTTTTCGATTTAAGCCGGTCTTTCGTTCCGCTATTTAAGACCGATGAATTGGCTTTGCATTCAATCTGATGATAATAGAGTGAAATCAGTCTGATATTTCCCTGAAAATTACTTTACATTTAACAATAATCGCTAAACTAACGGATGCCATCCGCTGCATGAAAATAATTAAATATTTGATTCAAAAGGTATTGGTTGTCCAAATGAGAATTGCCAGCAATTTCCGCGATATTTTCTATTTTCCCGAATACAACTCGTTATATCAACTGGATGGCACCTAATTCATGCCGGAATCGTGTTTCCTATTTTAAAAATTTCGCTTCTGTTTAATTGGAATCTAACTGTTGTTACAGTGTATATATCAGTTTTTATTCTTTACAGGCAGTGGTAAAATTGAACGTTTCCATACCGCAATAACTGTGTTGTGTTATTATTCACAGTAATTAAGATTTCAGATCAAAAACTCCCTGATATGTTAACACGCCTGCTAAAAATTCATAGCAGGTCTAAACTGCTACGAAATTAACATTTTTGTTGGGTGACCTTAAATCAAAAACCTGTTCACTTGATTTACCATAAATTCAAAAAAATTGTCTCTTTAGAATTTGGTTTCTGTTAGATAATGCGTTAAACCTGCAAATCATGCACCATTAAACGATATTTGTAATGATCTTTGCCACTCCAATTGGGTCTTGTATTTGATCTTTTGCATGCTGATCAGCTATGTTGGAGTTTATGAACTAAATAAAAAATAAACTAAGGAAAAATGAAAGCGAACTAATTGAAAGGTTTGGGAAACGGGTTAAAAAATCGCACTGGAAAAACACAAAAATGAAATTTGTTTTAGTTTATGAATAAGTACTACGGTGACCTCTCCATCTGCTTCTTCACGAGCCGGACGTATACAAATAACCGGCAATGTCATCCATTAACGGTAAACAGTGAGATCAGTTTTAATTCTGGCAGTTTGTGTACTCCGGATTCGTCCTGTGATCTGCAGTACTCTCTCACGGCCAACAACAGTCAGATCAAATGCGCAGGTAACGCCACATACCTGCTAGAATACTTATTAGCTTTAAAGGATAACGGATCAATAATAAATACTAATTCTGTATTAAACATGAAGTTTTTGCCTTTTATGTTTATAGCAGTTTGATCTGCGTTGTTAATGGTTTTCCTGCTTTTTTAGCAATTAGGCAAGAAAGTTTCACGTACAATTTCAAGCTTTATTATTGCTGTCCGTTATTACAATTATTATTCCATATATTGACTTCACGCCTAGTTATGGGCTTTTTCTCCAGTATTGATGATGATTATCTGGAAATGCTAATGTGTTGATTATATTTTTCTAGAAACTGACTGCCGGTACCCAGACCAAGTGCTGGTGATAATCACGTACAGCTACTCATCCGGGGCATCTAGTCTGGTAGCCAACTTTTGCGCCTTATTTGGATTAATTTACTTAGTAAAATACATATAATCTTTCACATCTTCATAAGTGACTGAGATCTGAAAGGAAAAACGCACTTTCCAGCCAAGTTGCGGAAAATAAAAGTAGATAGTTTTGTTTAATCTCAACTGTATGATTAAAGTGATACTTGACATTATTGAATTTAGCAAATTTTTACCTTAATGCTTAGATATGCTTTAGACTAAGGCCATATACAATGCATGAAGAATGTTGAAGCTAATAATAAAAAACAAACAGAAGCAAATTATAAATTAGACTTGTCTCAAAAAACAAGGAAAAACTGCCAAAAATCCTCTTAATAAAATAGTCCATTTTGCTGTTTTACATTTTGTGCTTCGATGCCTGTTATTTGAATACCGTTAAAGTATTATTAGATGTTTTTCGCCATGACATTCTTAACAATTATCGGGTTTTAACACATATCTGCGAAATTAGATGGCGAATATATAAGAGTATACTATATAAATGTTTGCAGTAGATGAACTACTCAGAAGTTTTCATGCCGAAAACCAAAAATCTGCTGACAAATATCTCAAAATTCATCTTCTTAAGGCTTTTGGTTTGCGATTTTTGTATGTATTTAAGGTAATAAAGATGTATGATTTATCCAGCGTGCTAATTAGATAAGAAATAACAAGGCAATGTTAATTAAACTGTCTGCGTTATAGAATGTTGTTCATTCATTTAGTGCGAAACGAAGCATCCCACGCCTGCGAGAACATTTATATAAGTTGTGTTTGAAAGCTAATAAAAACATTTTTTTATGCAGGTTTTTTTTCTACCCAACAGTTTGCTAGTTTTGCTAGGAAATTATGCACGTAAAAAAAAGGTTTTCAGGCATTTTTTCCAGTTAGTTCGCAGTTGAACGCTAAAAAAGGTTTTTTTTTAGAAACGTTTCTTATTTGTTGTGATATATTTTTAGTTTTATCCCCAAAATCTGCTTTTATGTTTACTTCATTCGATCACAAATAGCAGTTTTTTCTAAATTGGAATTAAAATTAATTTAAAATAATTTGAGTTTTATACATTATAATACATTTAATTTCAAAACACATTTTATTTTTTGTATATTACTTATGTACGGTTGTACAAGTTGTTTAAATTACCGTGTCTGGAACGTTTTGCTCTGTTTTAATGCCTTTCACATGCTACCTTTTTACGCGTTTTAATCGCACGTTTATAACTTTTTACTCTCTGGCACCGAATCGGGGTTTCAATAAGATTAAATAATCACATCGCTCTTGTATGTGACACGCCCAATTTTGCAACAATCACGCTTAAACTTTTTTTTATGAAGGCAAACTTGTATTAAACACGGCGTTACATAAATGGTTAATAAATAGTTAAAAATTGTTTTTTGTTTGTTTTTAATCCCTTGTTTTATCAATTAAATCGATTTTAATAACTATGTGGATAACAGATTTCCTGACTTTTTGCATATCCTGCGCGAACAACAGGTGGCCATACAGAACCACCTCAATTTTGTCGTTGACATGTGTCATCTCTATAAACTCCTGTAACATTGAGGAATCCTTCCATTATTTTCCACCGATCGTTTCGTTGATGCGGCTGCGCTTGCCGATACCGGTTTTTCGCGATAAAAAAATTTAAAATTTCCAAAATACATTTTTTAAATATTAATTCATCAAATTTGGTCGGTAGCCGGTACGTCGGGCAGCATTTTACAGGCAGTGATTGATCGACGACCAGAATTTCGCCAGTAGGTAAGTTGAAACCGCCATTTTAACCCTTTGGAATTACGAGGTTTTTTTTTGCTAAAAAAAGGCATTAATTTATGTGTGATACCTCATTTATTTCAAGCCCTGTTCGGTTTATAAGTGTATTTTGTAGCATGTTTTTCATTTCTATTTAGGATTGCTGAGATTTTTCTGGAAATTCTTTGGTCTTCTCACATTTACATCGGTATTTTTCATATCAAATGCTCGACGTTGTCTTTTGCTAAAAATGGCATTAATTTATGTATGATACCTCCTTTATTTCAAGCTCGGTTAAGTTTTTTAATGTATGTTGTAGCAAGTTTTTCATTTCTATTTAGGATTGTTGAGATTTTTCTGGAAATTCTTTCGGCTTCTCACATTTACATCGCTAGATTTCATCTCAAATGTTCCTGGTCGTTTCAGGTTTATAACGGCTTCAATTTTAGCCACTAATAACTCAACATAGCGCCTGATTTAATCGAGCCAAACGATTTTATTGGGATTCAATATTTAATGAAGCCATAAGGCATGCAGGGGCATTTTGCTAATCATTCTGGAATTATTCTAAACGAAAGTTGGAGCTGGATGCGAACAACTGGAGGCAGCTACACTCAGTTGTGGTTTCATTTAATTCTAGATACTCGGAGGATGCCAGGTGTAAAGGTTCTCCTAAACTTGTCTGGGCGTGTCCTTTTAATGCAGCAATTTCTCGATGTGAAAGTTGGTGCTAGAATTGAATATTTGGATGCAGCTACACTCAATTTTAGTTTCATTTAATGCCAGAGACTTTAAGTTGTTTGGGCTGCAGTAATTACTCGTTACTCTGGATGTTTCGACCCAACTACAGTTTGGTTTAATTACAAAAATTCACAAGGAATCTTTGTAGCTTTATCTTGAACTTGCTTGGACTTGTTTCTTTAATGCAGCAATTATTCGATACGACGTTGGAGTCTAGATGTGAACATTTGCATACGGGTTTCGTTTGGTGTCAGCCTGAAAACACGCTAAATGCAAGTGGGTTTTATATGGACCTTTCTAGAAAGTTTTTCGTGGACTTGGGGGTGTTTCTGGCTACATTTGGTAACGTGTGTAATCCAAAACTGCTTGTTATGAACGCTATTGCTTGGTTGAGTTATTTCATTTATATTTGTCTATTTATTGCATTTTGTGGCCACATTTGCTTTGTTCCCCGCCGTATTGAAGAATATACTGAAGCTCAATAGAGTGGATTTTCGCCACTAACCGATTTATCATACAAAATCGCGGAGAAAGGTAATTGCTTGTACATGAATAAATAATTTTGAAATCAACATAATATGTGACTGGCTTAAGCTTACGTATTTTATTTCAGGCTTTATACGTGAAATGTCGAAAAGCTGTGCGTTTCTCATTCGCAATAAGCGTGTAAATGAATTTTAATGTCAAATTGGGCATTACGTATGCAGCGTTATGCGGACCTCAGTTTGCTTATTGCCAATGCACGGTTTTTCAAATGCCAATTTCTTTACCCTTTTTTTCTTTTTCCCGCCAAGAGCAATTTTAATTAGCACGAAATTTGTCAAATCATTTTTTAATAGCACATGGACTTTTCCGTTTAAATCAACATATATCATGAATCTTTAATATAAAATTAATGCTTTTTTCTTGGTCTGCTCCAATCTTATTCAAAACGTGGTAAGAGTTTTAATATAAAACGGCCCTGGAATTGAATTTCCATAAAATTAACTAGTTTTATTCGAAGATTGCTAATTAAAATTTGAAGTTCTTCAATGCAGCATTCATCTCATTTGGATCTACAATTAATAATCATTTAAACTAAAAAGTCCGGCGCCAAAGTCCAGCTTTTATTTGCAGCTAAAAAAACTGTCAGGCATAATCAAGGTAGAACATAATGAAATCTAAGAATAGATCGACCAAGAAAAATTCTGCCTAACCCACTCTTGTCTATTTCTGGTTATTGCCATCCACTACTACAATAATTTGTTAGTAAAATCATTACTACATCCGGGTAAGAAACTGGCACAGCGTGCAATAACCGCAAACAGTTTCTGCTCATAGTTATTGACTTAAAGTATGTCTTCTTTGCTGTTCAAGTCCATCTTATTTGGTTTCTTATGGCGTTTCGGAGGCTCAAATTGTTCGTAGTTCTGATTCAGGCTCCACCAAAAAAATCTCGTTGATTAGTGGTTTGCGTTCCAACGGTAGTCCCGCATGTCGCGCTTCGATTTGAATGTTTGATGCGAAATAAATTTGATAAAACTAATTATTTTCTATTCATATCATCTACTAGTACCAGCTACTAATTGCTACATTGAATGCAGGTTAATAATTCAAATACACCAACACCCAATTTTGGCAAAAACCTATAGGTGCCCGGAAGTAATTGCATTCAATAATATAATCTGAATGTGTTTTCGTACCTAATAACATTCGAAAATACGAAAAGCACATCGCAAAAAATACTCAAACATGTTGTTAGTGGAATTGGTGTTAACTCCGGTAACCTAGCTTTATGAAGTTGAAACCACTCATACAGCTAGATAACCAAAGAAAATCTCAATTCCTTGCTTTTCCCAAATGGTAACTGTTTATAATTACCCATTCTGGAGGAAATCCATCAACAGCCACGTGATGCACGCACGACTCACCCGGCACCAAAAATGTGAGACTGAGAGCAAGGACATATGACCTAAACGCACCTTCTTGAGAAACTGACCAACCGTTCAGGATTAACCAAAAGTGGACCCAGAGCTGGTACTACAAAATTTGCTGGTACCGGTCACCCAGCGACGTTGTACTGCGTTTCAAATCTTTGTACTGGAACCACTCGCTTCGGCTTAAATGTACTATGTAAAATATTCACTCTTCTCAGCCCATTTTGCTACTGAGCTACATTTTTACGTTCAACAAACACGTTTTTAGCCCATTTTTTCCTGGAAATATTCTTGCTGTCCGAGGTTTTCGATTGTTGACTGAGTGTGTCGCTACAACTTCAACCCACAACGATATCAGACATTTTCCTTGCGGGATAAATGTTTGCAGTTTTATTTGCGATATTTGAGGGCCCATTCAGTTTTCGTTTTTGCAGCAGTTTTAATTCGCATTTTCTCCTTTTGTGTACATATTTATGTACAACTATGAGTGGAAAGTTTGCCATCAATGTACCGGTCTGGCTTTCCCCATCGACATCGGCCGGTTAGGAAAACCTGTTTGAAAAGCCAAGCCTGAGACGGTCGCTGGTACCCTTTATGTCACCATGTTGCCAAACTTACCAATGAACCAACTCCAACATGGACCAACTTACCATGGGTCATTCTGAGCATAAGTGAGATTACCCCGAGCTCGTTTGGAGATTTTGCTTGCGCCGAATTTTCCCCTTTTAGCCATTATTTTGGCTTCCAGGTTTCACTTATTAAATAAACAGGAAAGCGGGCGCGGAAAATTGCCAATAAATAAATGTTAATAAAAAGTTCTCCATTCGAATAGGAGGATATTGCGATTATGAGGAAATTTAATCTACTTTGTACTCGCATTTCTCACTTAGCGCGCTTTTTATTTGAATATTATTATCGCGTTCGTATCTTTTGATGTTGTGGATATATTGGACTGCGTGATAATTTAGAGTCAAACGCCATTGTTTGAAGATCTTTATTAATTTGACCACAAAATGATGAAGCATTTATCATATTAACTTATACACTTCTTATAGAATAACCCAACCGAAGAATTTTATTAATCGAATCCGTGACTGGTGAGGCTGGTGGACCACAGATATTTTCGAACTTCTTTGAACCTGCCATCCCCCCCGCTAGCAGATCAGTCCTCATTGGCGTGGGTAAGCGTGGTCGTACCTTTGGAATAAATCATGCTTCCAACCGGGTACTTGACGAAACCAACTCCAGCTCTGAAAAGTACTGCTATGGAAATGATTGGATCAACACACATTAAACTCGAAGGCACCTTCTCAAATCCACCATCTCAAAATGTACTGATTTTTCAATAATGACTTTGGTAGAGCAAAAATTCGTCAATGGTCCGCCTCTGGA